TTGACAAACCAATTTGATAACATTTGCGGAAAATGTGAAACGACGTAAATCCACAGCCCACTCTATGGAGGAGGCCCCGAGAGTTAACATGCTCTTGTAGCTAGCCCAACTTTTCATGCTTTAAAATTTGTCTTTCCTGTGCCACTATCATGTGTTTAATTTAGCCCCCAATGGGAGTATGTATATATATAGAAACGAACTGTTTTTCTTCCTTTTTTGTTTGTTTACAATTTAACCGCAACTAAGGCGAAAAACAGAACGCACATTTCGTTTGAACTGGAAAGGCGCTTAAGAACCAAAAACTGTGCAGAAAAATTACTAAAAAGGGGGAGTTGTTGCCTGTTTCTATTTTTTTTTCTGAGCACAAATTGTTGCGATGGAGATTTAAACATTTTATGAACAAATAGCTATTTTTATGAAAAGAAAAAAAAACAGCCAAAAGTCAGGTAAAAATGAGGCAAAAATCGAGGAAAAATGGGGCAAAATAATTGCCAAAGGAACAGTTAAAAAAATCAGCTGTGATAAGAAGCGTGATATTATTCATCGCGTTTTTCCCATATCAGTGTGATTTGTACTTGTACACCCGGTCGCGTCGTGTATGTGGACAATCTTGCCAATTCTGTAATGACCAAATGTGACATTTTTGAAAATTCATTTACCGACGAATCCGGAAAGGCATTTATTCACCGACGTGAACATCATTGTGTGTTTAAGGGAGCAGCAAACCATTTACTGTTGTCCCCATTTTGTCTTAAATTTGATGAATTTTAAACTGTACACATTGTTAGCAAATTTTCTCCTCTGCGATGGCAAAATTGAAACATGAAAAAAACGGCCGTTCGAAACGTCCCATATGCTGTGTGTCAGTTTTGTGTGGACAAATGTGCGCAATCTTTTGTTTTTACCATCCTGAAATCTGTGTAGAATTTATCGCTTTCTTATGATCTATTAAACTGTGAAAGGAACATGTGCCAATTTTATAGTACACGATAGTTGCTTCACTTTTTGTCATTCCAATGCAAAAGCGGAAAGGTAGTTAAATGGCGAAAAAAATGGAAGCAAACATGGCAGTAGTCTGCCTGCGTGAAACCTCCCCTCGAGTTGCCTTCAAATCGTAATATAGCACATCACGCACTTAACAAACGAGCCAAACAAATAAATTAATAAAAGGGGAATTATAAATGTACGCGCCGCTTTCTAAATTTAAAACCAACCGCTTAAGCATTAGTTATTTCCATTTGAGCGTTAAAAAGGAATAATATGGAAGAGTTCAATTTGAAGCATGATGTTAAAAGGGGCATAAACTTTTTCGCAGTAGACGAATGCAAGCATTCTACATACTGCTTAAAAACTTAAACTGCCATGTTTATTCTTTATGGGAAATGAAACGAATTCAATTAGTTTCTCCGTGTAACGCGCAAGGTTCGGCTTTTGAATTATGAACAATCATTTATTTGAGCGCTTTCGCTCTTTCGCGATTCCCCTCTTTCGGGCTTTGCACGTCGCACCTTGCACTTGACCTTTTTGAGTGTCTTTCTCCTGGGTTTGAATTCTATAACATGGCCCCAGTGCACGGATGCATAGCGCATGGGCGTGCCATATCACGCGCGTACACTTGCATACACGCACGATTATGCACATGTATCTGCTTACGCAAG